AATGAATAAAAGTAAGTAAAGAACGTTCTATAAGTTGATGTTTCTTTACATCTTTGGCAACCTTGTTTGTGGATTTGCAAAGAGGGTCCCTGGCCAGAAGCTAATGCTGTTTGGGGGTTCATGGRGTGGATGAAGTCAACAAGTTTCTGAGTATTAAAAAGAATCAACATTAAAATACAGACAGGTCTTTTTCCCACTCACCTTGTGCTGCTGGCACTGGTACTAACACCAGCACTGACACTGGGTTTGGGGACAGAATTGGTGCTAGCCGTGGCGTTGGTCTCAGTTATGGTCTGACTGCAGACCCATTTGGGCTCATCCACAAACGTGCGTGCATGAGGCAGACGGCCCACGTCTCTCACTTTCATCAGCAGGTGGCGTCCTGATTTCAGGATGTTAACCGCCTCATCGTGGGAAATAGTGATAAAACTCTGGCCGTTTACTTCCAGTATTTGGTCACCCACCTGCAACAGACCAGAATGAGGATTGAGGGGTCACAGTCCTCTATGCCAATGGTTCTCAATCCTGGTGCTCAAGGATCCCTACCCTGCATGTTTTAGTTGTTTCCCTGCTTTGGCACACCTGATTTAAATCACGGTGATTGACAGGCTTCTGCAGAACTTAAATACTTACTGCAGAGCAGGGAAACAACTAAAACATGCCGGATAGGGGTCCTTGAGGACCAGGACTGAGAACCACTATGCAACAGACAACAACAAACAGACAGCTGAGAGGAACAACATCAGGAGGCAGATAATAACAGTAAGTGAAAGTTTATTTACAGTAAAGATCCAGATCTGCTAGAGGAAGGATTAGGATGAGCAATGGGACCGAGGGAGGGGAATATCTTTATACTGATTGATCAGGTTCTACAGGTTCTGCTCTGCTGTCCTCATACGAGTCTCCTTAGTCTGTCGCCACAACCGCCGGCATCTCCTGAGATGGTGGACAGTTTGACGAGGGTTTAGAATAATGGTCCACCACATTGAGTATTACAGTTTTACCTTCAGACGGCTGTAAAACAGTCACAACGGCAGGAGCTGAAGAAAGCCGGCAGGAGGTTGGTTGCCGCTTTTGCTGTGAGCACAGGTAAGGAAGATCCTCACAAACTCCCTGATATCTTGATTGAGGGTGAACCCCATAAGTATTGTTCCATGAATGAGAGCATCTGACTGACCCCAGAGTGGCAGGTGAACCGATGGCTGTGAATCCAAGACTTTACTTTTCACAGATGAAGGTACAAAGTGCTTACCTTCAGGTCTGGTCCCTGTGTCGGGTTCTTGGTTTAGAGCTACCAGGATGCCCTTCTTAATGGCCCATGTGAGGGCTCCAAYAAATCAGGATGAAGGGATAATGTATGTCTCAGTCTTGGAGTGATTGGAAACAGAGAGCATCAGGTTTGACGTTCTTAGAGCCAGGTGATGTGATGGTCAAGTTAAATCAGGCAGTGACCAGCCTGTTGGGGATTAAGGGTGTATTCAGACCAGGAAAGTCCTTTGGTCCAATTGTTTGGTCTGGACCAAAAATGGACTTTTTTTTTTCCGTTTGGTGCGGTTTGCATTCACATTGTGCTTTTTTGCAAACGAACTATAACTTGTAAACAAAGCCATGAGGGTGACGATCATTGSTCCCACTGGACAAAAAAAGGACGGGGGCGGGACTGAGCCACAGACCCAGAAGAAAACAAGGAAGTCCTGCGTGCTGTGGTTCTGATGCGCACATTTATGCTGATAGTACAACTGCAATAGCATTTAAAATGTCAGAAGCAGCTAATTTAACGGTGGTTTCATGATGAAATTCTAATTTTGGAGCGGAGTCAGTAAATGTGTCCCGCAACCCAAAGAAGACGAGGTGCGCTGCGTGTTCTGACCCACAACATGCTGCCAGCAGAGCTGCTAACAGGAGATGATGAAACGGATATGTTTTCAGTTTATTTAGCCCAGCAACGGTGGCCTGTGAAGTCCAAAAAGRTGCATGTTTAATGCAGTTGGTTCGGTTAGAATCCGGTCTGTATTCACACCAGAAGCAAACTGAAGTTAACCGCACCAGAGTTCGTTTGGAAATGAACCGAGACCACCTAAAAAAGCAGGTCTCGGTCCAGTTGTTTGATCTGCACCAGAGTTCGTATGAGTGTATTCACACCTGCAGAAAAGGTYCGGACCAAAGCTGGAAACGAACTCTGGTTCGTTTAAAGYGGAGCAAATTATCAGGTCTGAATACGACCTAAGTCTCTTAACACTTTGAATGAATGAGAGATTTTTACGATCAGTCCAGATGTTAAACAAGAGCGCTGTTATGGAAATATTTATTTAACAAAGACAGAAATACGTGGTCCAAGAATGAAGGTACTCAGTGSAATGATCAGCTGAGTTTCATTACAACAACAGGAACAGAGAACAACATAGAGCCATCAGACTGTCCCCCTGTTCCCTGCTCCTGTTTCTGAGGCAGTTGAGGCCTCATATATACTGTTTAACAAACATTATTATGTCATCTTAATAAAGCAAGATTTCATCCTGAAGAAATGCTGGGTTAATGAAAACATTAGATAAACACAAGTGATATCTTAGAATGAATATTGTTGTGAGCAAATCTTGTTCTGACTTTAATCATTTTATCTACTGATAAACAGCATGTCATGAAAACCTAGGTCATTAAAATATGTCATGAATTACTGGCTTAAATCTAAAAGTATTATTTCCATCACACTACCCCATCTGATCATTAAATGATCAATAAAACAAAAAAGCTTTAATGTATTAAAAAATATGTCAACACAAACCTAAGTATATGTACTTTTATAAAATCCCAACCCCGGTAATCCAATTTTTATTCCTCCCGCACATAAAAATATTCATCATCAGCGTATTTTCTCATAATTCTCTCTTTCCACCCTTGAAACTGCTTTTCGGTCCCATTTTCTTTATACCATGCTGAATAATGCTGTAGCTTTGTGTGTAACTCCAAACGATACTCTGCTCATTCCACAGGGTCCTCAATGTCGTATCCATACCAGTACTTCCTTTTCTTGGATGTAGTGTGTACCTTCTCCCATTTGATGGTTTGGGTTTCTCTGGTTGCAATGTTGATGAAACCAGATATTCTTCCGGTTCAGCAGCTTGAAGAAACTCCTCTCTCTGTGGTTATAATTCTGCTGCAGTCTTCTTATCAGGCTGTTGTCCTTCAGCCTCAGACGTCAGCTGATCACTCTCCTGTTGTTTGTTTCCAGCCAGAACTTAATACTTCATGTTTGAAACTAACAGCTCTGCTCCAGCTCTATTCAGAGTCATTCCATCAGACTTGAACAGGTGTTTTCATTCTCAAAAGAGATCAAAGTTATCCACAAAACTCACAGAGTGGTCAGCACAGAACTTTTCCAAAAAGCCATTAAGAGCAAATAGTCTACTGAACCTCTCAGCTCCTCCTCTGGCTGTAGGAACAGGCCCACTGATCAATACATCCATGTTGAGGTTTTTAACTGCATTCAGCAGCAGAATAAAATCCTTCTTCAGGATTTCTGACTGTTGATTCATAACTTCATCACTTCCTGTATGAATGATGAGGGTCTTCAAAGTTGAATATTCTGCTGAGATTTTCAGAATCTTCTCTGTGAGGTCAGACACTTTATCAGCAAAACTCAGAACYTTKRMYTTTTTTYTTKTTCCAGAAGCCTCTGATCTCATTCACCATTTTATCTGTGATGATCAGCATTTCTTGATTCTTGAAAGTCTCTTTTTGGACTTGTTTTGGCTTTGAGCTGGATCTGGATCTGGTCTCAGGTCCCTCTCTGAGATCAGATAGTGAACTTTGTTCAGACTCAGTTTCTTCCAGTGGTGTGAATCTGTTTTGAAGAAACACTGCTTCATTTCTCTGGCCGTTATCAGGTGTTTTGATTCCAGCCTGTTTCTGCTTTCTTCTCCTTGCAGGTGGAGAAAAAGCATTTCTCTGTAATTCTGGCCATTCATTGTCATCTAAGAGCTGAATCCTTCCTGAGAGATGTTTTGGTCTGGCACCAACAGAGTTCCATACAGCTTCACCCTCAGAAGCAGCTTCCATCTCCTCTCCACGTTGATCTCTCATCTCAGCCTTCTCACCCATTTTAACACATGTTGAGTTCTCCAAAGCATTTATCTCTTCCAGACGATGAATCTTGAGCTCCAACACCGTCACCTTTTGGAGAAGCTGGCAGAAATCCTCTTTGGAAAAGTAAGGAGGCATCTTGAAGCTTTTACTCACTCTCAGCAGATGATGTTTCAAAATCTTCTCAGGTTCTTCAACAGCCAAGAATAAAATCCAATGTTCTCTGCTTATTCAAGATCACACATCATGGTCGGTGGTCACCAGCGTATCTCTATTGTTAAAAAGGTTCTTTAGATCCAGCTGGAGTCACGGTCCTGAACAGTCCTTGCTCACTCATATCAGTCCACCTGCGATGTGGCCTTGGTCCGTCGCTCTCCTAGTGGGCTCTGCGACAACGCCAAACTGTTATGGAAATATTCATTTAACAAAGACAGAAATACGTGGTCCAAGAATGAAGGTACTCCGTGAGATGATCAGCTGAGTTTTATTGCAACAACAGGAAACACAGAGAACAACATCAGACTGTCCTCCTGCTCTCTGCTTCTCCCTCGCTGAGGCAGTTGAGACCTCATATATACTGTTTAACAAACACCATTATGTCAGCTTAATAAAGCAAGATTTCATGCTAAGGAAATACTAGGTCAAGGAAAACACAAAGATAAATACAAGTGATATCTAAGAATGACTGTTGTTARCAAATCTTGTTCTGACTTTAATCATTCTATCTGCAGATGAACAGCATGTCATGATAACCTAGGTCATTAAAGTATGTACTAAATCAGAGGTTTTCAAACTGGGGTCCCAGGACACCCAGGGGTCCGCGAGAGGTATCTTTGGGGTCCTAAAAATATTTTACTAAATGGTTAATTTAGTTTTTATGTTTAAAAATGCATGGAGAACAATAAACTAATAAAACAAACATAATAATCGTAATAAAAATATATATTCCCATGGCATTTAGGGGTTGAAATGACAATAAATTGTCTTTTAAAACAGCATGTGGTTAATGAGGGGGTCCCTGGAATTTTTTTCACCCTTGTGAAGGGTCTCCAGACCCAAATGGCTTGAGAAACCCTGTCCTAAATTACTAGCTTAAACCTAAAAGTATTATTTCCATTACAAGCGCCCCAAAAACATCCCATTTTATTTGCAGGCCTGGGTGCGTATGCACAAAAATCTTGCGTACGCCATTTTCCACACAAAACTCCAGATGCATGAAAACTGAAATGAAGGTGGAAATGTGTAAACACAATAGGAAGGGTGAGTTTAAAAACAGCTTTGATCCAGTGTTTTATACAGAAACATACAAACATGCGCTGAAAAAGCTACTCTGCTAGAGTTAAACAACCCACGAGAGAGCAGGTCAGCCTGGGGGGCCTTAGGTCAGATAGATTCGGCTTTACTGGAGAATATAGTGAATAGTGTAACACACAGAGCATTTATTTATAAACAGATATAATTTTCT